CTGAGTTGCAAAGAAAAAAAATCCAAATCTTAATTTACAGTTTCCTGGGAACTAAAATGTATATAGTCCAAGTCTGACTCTAAATCAGGGTCCAGTTGAGGTACAAGACTTCTTCTCCAGTTCCCCAGAACCAAGAATAAAAGCTACCCCACCTCTCTCCCAGGGGAGCCTGCAGCCTGGTGGTTATTCAACAGTTGAATTCAACAGTAACTTGTGCCATTACTGTGGCTTAAGATTAAATCATAGTTTTTCTCTTAGGAAAATTCTACCTAGTTAACATTTCTCATCAAAATGATTATCACTGCTTCAAGAGTCTACTGTTCAGCCTGGCTGTCCCTGGAAAGGAAGAACATACTAGACTAACCTGGGCTGGATTAGAGAGCTGTGCAGAAGGGATCAAAATGCCTAAAATAATGCTAAATACACTTCTCATTTTCTGGGAGCTGCCACAGGAAATTAAGGTGCAGAGCAATACAAATAGAAGATACCCAAGGTTGCTACAGGTTGGAACAATATATGAAGCTACACACCTTGGAACAAGTGCAGATACAACTCATAAGGAGTCAGAGATATTTATACAGTCAAACGAGGTCATCGTCACTGTTGAGAGTGTTTATTTCACCCTACAACAATCCTGTTGTACAACAAGGCTCAGGGCATGTTCTTAGTCTCCCTACATAAGCCCCAGGTCTCAGCCGAACAGGTGCATTTTTATCACATTCCTGCAAGCTCTCCCCACTCATTTATTCATGTGATCGATTCCTGTGTCGCTCAAATAGTTTGTGCAGAAAAACCTCACATCCTCCTCTGTCAAACCAAAACCGACAGACTAGCTGGAGTTGCAAAGGTGACCAGTGTCCCAAACACAACAGGTACCCGGAGAAATAAGGAGGCAAAAATGCAGCAGAAACCACCAGCAAAGCTTTTCGAGTCCAGAGCTCTCCCTCCACCCTTTGCCTTGAGGCTGCAGCCGCCTTCGCCCGCGCGGAGCCACCGTTAACCTCCCAGCTCGATTCAATGTGACAGTGACACTTCACAGCACATTGCATCCAATCTCATTTGGAGCTGACAAAGATTGTTTCTGTTTTATATCTATTGGTTTATTAATGGCCTACAGCCTCTTAAGCAGATGCATATTCATTAGATAGCCAGCTGTTAGGAGGTTCCCAGATGTCGAAAGCAGCTCTGTCTTGGAATGCATTTTTTTCCCTTATCATGAAACGAAGTAATTGTAGCTGTATTAAAGAACCAGTTAATTACTGAACCAGTACCTTATGGCATGCTTAAAAAAAAAATAAAAATAAAAATCTGCAAATTTGTGAGGAGTAAAGATATTTCTGAAAACAGAGATGAGATGAGCCTTCACTGTGGTGTACACACACAGAGTACATAGATGTGGAGACCTGGATTACTCCACGTAAAGAACCCCCTGCTGCAGGCATCCAGGGGTACACAAAGCTCTGCAAAGGCACCTTTCTTACTTTTCCATATTCTGTAGAATTTCTCTCACCTCTTATCCTTCCTTATCCAAACAGTGGAGGCAGAAGCACATAAAAAATGAAAATGAGACACGTCTTAATTTTTAAAGGTCATTTTACACAGAAAAGCAAACTTCCACAGCGTCGCAGCTAGATAAAACCGTAACCAGATCATTGCACAAGCTGTGCAGATTGACTTACGAATTCCAGAGGCCAGCTTTTCAGTCTCACAACATTAACCAGGCTCACCTAGTTGTCTTTGCAGCTTACTATTTTCTCCTTTCTTACATCTTTCCTCAAAGCTCTAAAACAGCTCCCAAAGGCAGGTCTTAGCAGCAGAGGTATGACAATAACCATCCTCCTGCCACCACCCCCAGGAAGCCCTCCTCCCACTGAAATGTTTAACGCATTAGCCAGCTCCAAATCCAAGAGGTTTGGGCAAAAATGTTGTCAATTCTGTGTTCCTGGCTGATGGGAACAAACCGCAGAGCCGTTTGGCCCATCTCACGCCGCAGCGACAGCCGCGGAGGAGCCTGCAGCACGGCCCAGCTCTGTCCCCAGCAAGGGGGAGAAGAGGGCAAGTGCTGTCCCCGGGCTGTGGGCAGAGCTCCTGGGGGGAACAATTGGAAGCACCCAGGCATTCAGTGCTTACTTTCCAATTCTCTCGTTCATACTTTCAGTTTTTGCCAGTCAAATCTGTCAGCAAGTACCTGGAGCCGTGCAACAGGACATTTCTCACTGTGCTGAGTTCTGAATACTAAAAAAAAAACAAAAAAAAAAAAACAAAACCAAAACACCCAACCAAAAAACCAAAAGTTTTGCGTTACAGTCAAATTAAATATTTTGGTTAAAACAGAGAGCTTCAATGTGTCTGGAAACCTGGTGGGTTTTCCTGAAACAATTCTGAATTTTAGTCAGTGGTGGCTTGGAATGAAAGTTGAGGTGCAGGGGGTAGGGAAGAAAATAAAAATTAAAAAATGACATCTCCATTAAAAGCTTTAATCAGAATCAAGTGATGGTACTATAAAATGTCATATGCTATCAAAGTGTTTACAGTCATGCACAGAGGAACGTGGAGGCAATTTTGTAGAGCGAATCCTGGAGCAAAGGCCTCTGAGAATAAAAGTGTCTTTAGATATTTGTTATCCTGTTATAGTTGATATCACCTTGAGTATACAATGCCTGCCTGCATTATGTAAACACTTCATTGATAAATCCCTCCCCCACCTCCCTTAAGCTGTGTCAGACTGTTCTTAGCTGACAGATATAGCTGAAACAGATGCTGCTATAAATACCCTTGTTTAGCTGTTTTGAATATAATTTCTTTTGTAGAACATGGTAGATGCTCTAGTTACCACTGAACTTGCACCTGTGCTGGAATTTATTATTCCTTTGTACACAACAAGATGCATTTTTTGAACTATTCTATGAAAAACACATGAAGCGTTGGATTCTGATGCCCCTTCTCTTTTTAAGCAGAGACATCCTTTACAACGGATTTCACTAATTTTAACTGAACTCTTAACTTTAGAAGCTACAGAATCCAGAAATGGTAAAAGTTTACCTCTTATGACCAGTCAAACAGTTATTGTCTCTATTGACTTCCTGTAGGCTCCAAATTCCCACGACAGCAGCTGCTTTTCAGCTTGCTGTGGAAAGGTCACACGGCTACTGGCAATGGTCACAAGGCTTACAGTTTAGGTGCTTAAAACTCCTGCACTTTGGACCCTACCATGATAATATAGGCACACTTTTTTTTTTTTAAAATGTAGAGTATACCTTGTGAGTAGTCCGGGGGAAGAGCAAAGAAATCAGGTTTTTGCTAAGGGGCAGTGGGGGGAAAGCCAGATGACTACACAGTGTGCTGTCATACTGGGGGGTAAGTGCTATGCAGCGCACAGTCAGTCAGGCCTAGGCTTCTGGGAAGTTTGCAATTACAGCTGGACCCAGCTTTAAAAAAAAAAAAAAAAAAAAAAGAGGAGTTGTACTAACACAGTAAATGATTTAGGTTATATTCAAGTTAGATTAGGCAGCAGCTAATAAATGATAGATCTGTCACCACTCACATGGTAGCTTATTTGTATTTTCACCTGGAAAGATCATTTATATTTTTAATACATTATTTTGCTTGTAGCTGAAGTATCAGAGATTGAAACATTTTATGGCATCCATCTTAAACAAGTCCAATATTGCTTTTAAGCAGACACAACCCATGGTATGTTTGGTCTTTATCTAAAGATGTAAACCATATTCTGTTAAGCACTACTACCTATGATCCCTGTCCTTTAACTGGGGGAGAGAATGGGATAAAACTTCCATGCAACAGGCTCTCATCAGTGCAGGCTGAAGATGCATGGGGATGCACCTGAACCACGTTCTGAAGGAATCTTTCTCAGTTTTCTTTTCTGATGTTTCTTTTGGTTCAAAGGACTTTGTTCTCACCCACCTGCAGACAGCCTGGCTGGCTAAAAAAAAAAAAAAAAAAAGCTTCTTTTCACACTCCATACAACCATCTTCATCATTAGGATATTGATCCGTAAGATGAACAATGTACAGTAGAGGCAGTGAATCAGTTCCCTACAACTGCTCCATAAGCCCGTGTAGCCTGGACACAGGTAAAACGGACACACCACCAAGATCCACTCTAAACCAACCAAATGTTTTCCACCAGAGTTATTCTAACTCCATTATAATTAATCTCTTGATGAGAAGCTAAATCACTGATTCCTCTGAAGAGATGTGAGCAACCTAAATAAGGACAAGATCTTCCAACTCAAAGCTGACTGTTTAACCAGCTAAGCTTACCTGAAAAGGACAGCATTGTCAATAGACTCACCCTACTCCCCAGAAAACCTCCTGAAGACTGTTGAGCAGCGCTGCACCCCTTCAGCACGACTACAAGAGCAACCCTGACTAGACCTTTAGTTTTCCCTGCCACCCATCTACCACCCCAGGAACCAGCTTTCTTCTCACCACAATTTTGCATATATTGAACCAGTTTGAGTCTTCCCATCTGTTAGAACTAGAGATTTTGAAGATGATTATTCCAAATAAGTTTAAAGGTTTCAGAACAGGAACCAGAGCGATCTCTCCTACTCAGCCGTTAAAGCCTGCCTTGATTACTTTGATGTAACAACACTTGAAAGCTCCTATTCTTTGAAACTAATTTAAACACATTGAATTGTTGAAAGATTAAAAACCGCAGTCAGCTAATTACACTCACTCTCATCTCTTATTCAGCAAATGAATCACTTTTCATTACCACTTAGCTGAAGTACATGAATTTCTGCCTAATTAGAAATGTTGTAGATGGAGCATTAGCAAGGCTGGAGCGGGTCAGGATATCTTGCCTGCTTCATTTTTAATTCCTAACAGTAGAGCCAGATAGGAAAGGCTTCAGATAAGAAGTCATTAAACAATTTTAAATTATTTATAAAAATTACTTTGCCCAAATTATAATTATTTTTTTTCCCAAATGCTCTCATAAACGTCAAATGGAATGAAAGGAAAAGCAGCCCAACATTGATTTTAATGAACATTTTAATGTTATGTATAACAGAACATTATGAATACAATGGAAACAAAGTTTTATCAATTTAATAATAAAAAAGAAATCCAACATAAGAAAAGGGAGGCAATAAATTTCATACCTATAGTATAGTGCTTATTCTTAACAATATCCTCAGCTTGTGAATATAACAATGTCTCTGTGTTCCAGATTCTAGTATCATGATTCATGTGAACTTAAAATGCAGAATTACAGAAGAAAAAACAAAAACCCCAAAAACCTTAATTCGTTCTTTTGTTTTAAGTAAATCAGTAAAATCTTTGACTGCTACAGGTTTCCTTTATTAATATATATTTTTTTTTTACTCCTCTATTGGATTCCACAGCTGCTAATGCCGTATGTACACAAAAGAATCACCAAATGTTGTATAAAAGCTAAGATCCAATGCTGTTGGATTAGGTAGGGTTTTAGATTTACATAATTTAAGTGTAATTCACTTTTTTATTTGTTTGTAATGATGCAAAAAATAAATATTTTTGCCTTTTGACTGCTGCTGATGCCCTAAACCAGTGGCTCTGTAGGGATATTGGTGGTACAAAGGATGTTAAGTGCCACTGTAAAAGAACTGCAAGTGCATTTTCTGGAGTTTTCTGAAAGGAAACCTTCCAGCAGTCTTGGATAAAGCTTCTCCCAGACTTGCACTGGATATCAGTTGTAACAATAGAAGCACGTTAAGACCCCAAAAATCTGTTGATCACCAAATTGCTGAGAGGATTTTTACAATAAAAATTTGGGTAATATAGCAGTGTGGCTGGAAGATTAGCAAAAGTATATATACATTCCAGGTCCCTTTGAATTAAGCCATAATCACATATGTAAGCCATTTTTGGACAAAAATATATATTCTTATAAAAAACTGATCATAGTATTTGAGTGACTTCAATTGTGGACTCAGCGGTAGTAAAAGGAATGATCCAATTATGACAAAGCGATCAGGGAGAGGGGGAAAAGAAAGTCAAGCTCTTCAAGAAAAAAGAAAAGTATAAAATTAGATTCAAACATTTTTACCCAACCCCCATTCCAGTCGTCCATCAAGTCTCAAAGTTAAAATTGGTTCTTCTACGTAGGAAAGGTTTTTTTGATGGTCTCAATACAAATTATTTTGCAAAATCATCTAACACATTCCTTAGAAGAACCTTTCACCTCTCCAGAATTTGAACACTAGTTATTTCAACACTTAGAAAATAGCTTTTGGTTCTTTATGTAGACACTTTAACTGATAAAGAAAAAAGAAAAGTATTGATCAGTGTTTTCCATCCCTTTCCCAGCTATACTTGTGCAGCTAAAAATCCTTCATTCAGTCTGCCCATTTATTTTAGTTTTATTTCATTTTGTTTATTTTACAATCTTTATTTGCTAAAATTGGCAAAATTTGCAAAGGCATCTTGCTTGGGTTGTACAGTCCCAGAAGTCAGAGAGGTCATAGCGATATTTGGTACCCCCATTCCTATTGTGCCTGTCAAACCCATTCCCGTAGCTGGCACTCCCATGTTCATGTTTATCCCCATCATTCCCTGGTTCATCATAGGCGTGGGTCCCATGGAGGTCATCCCCATCGTACCTGACATCACACTGGGCATTCCCATCCCCACAGGAATGGGCCCTCCCATCAGTGGGCTGGTCTGGGGTCGAACAGGCATCATGTTAGGCTGAGGATTGAGGTTCACGGCTGCAAAGTTTTGAGTCATGACATTCATCGGTTGCTGCATATCTGCAAAAAAGAGAACAGGATGCAAAAATCATTAATCAGAATCTGATGCTGAAGGTGCTCATGTATTTTAAGAAACTTACATGGTAACTGCTGTGAACAAAGACAAGATAGCCAAAACCAGCAGTTTCGCTTGTTCCCCGATTTTCTGTGTGAAGACTCAGAAAAATGTTTTATAAAAGTTTTAAATAGCTTTTTAAAACAATACATGCTACTATGCATATTCTAGAGAAGTTCTAGAGACTAGAAAGCCTGAAATCAAGATACCACAATGGTGTAGACTCCGCAGTAAAAACATGCACAAATACCAGCCTCCTAGCATGTCAGTCTTCATTTAGGAAACGCCACTTGTGTCAGAACCATCGTAGTAGTTCAAAAAACAATTAAGACTAAACCTAAGAAAACAGTAACTGACAGAATAATCCATCTCAAGGACAACCTACTAAACACATACAGGGCTCAGCATGCGAGCAAACCAGTACGATAACCACTTACTTTGTTGCTGCATCATGGTATTAAGTGATGGCTGCTGGGGTTTGGAAGGCTGCATCCCAGGTACTAAATTGTCCAAACTGATATTTACACTGGGATCTGACCAAGTTGAGGGCAGAGTTTTGCTTGCATTTTTCTGGACCATCTCTGTGCTTGCATTATAAAGAGAGTTAGGCTTCGGCATCATAGTGTTCATGCTTTGCAGAGGCTGAAAAAGAAAAGACTGATGGGATCCACTTGAAACAATTTACTAATAGCAATCAAGATAAAGAACAAGTGTTAATTTTGCCACAGAAGACAATAAAAAGCCAATGAGATTTTTAGCCATGAACTTGAGTTCTTACAAAAAAGCACTGTTGTCATGTGCTCTTACACCATTAGAACAGCTTAAAAGAGTATTTTATAAGCTAGCATCAAGCTCCCATATCAATATGTGGAATGACAGCAATCATCTGCAGTTAACTTTTGAACTCAAGCATACTGATTTTTAACTCCTAACACCAAGTTGACCTGTTACAGTTTCCAAGAGCACTCTCCACTGAAGCAGGCACTTCTGTGTTTTGGAGAACAGACTGGTCCCTGTCTCCATCTACTTGAGGCTGGAAACTTGTAACGTTCTGTGGAGGATGGCTTTAAGGTCTAAAATATCATCAACCTCATTTTCCCCCAAAAAGCAGCAACACTTCCTAGAATGATGAAGACCTTCTCAGAAGAGACTAGCTTATAAAAGGAGGCTTTTCAAGAACATTTGACACCTTTTCTTTTTAGGAGGTTATTCAAACGTTTTCAGACAAAGCTTTCCTACAAAATGCTGACCACAATATCCAAGTGACTAGGCGTGGATTCCAGGAATGGAATGGATTTGTTTTCAGTGTTGTGATTAAGGAGAAGGCAAAAGATTAATTGAGGAAGGTCATTAGCAAACTGTACAAATAGCAGCATACCTGTGACCTTGACATGGGTAAACTGATGCCCACAGCATTGGAGCTCATCAGAGAAAAATTCATACTTTGTGAAGAGGTCATGGTTGTTTGAGAGGGGCCCATCAAGTCAAAAAGATCAGTAGAATTTGAAGCAGTTGGAGGCTGGCCAGATGCTGGCTGTGAGCTACTGAAAAGCTCGATAGTTGGCTGCTGTGCTGTGCTGCTGAAGAGCTCTCCAGATGAAGCGCTGGGACAAGGAGAAGCTTGGTTGAAGGCACTCCAGTCACCAAAGTCTCCATTTCCACTTGTTGCTGTACCTGGAGGAAAGGCAAAAGTGTGGGAGGAAGGAAGACAGAGAAGAAAGGCAGAAGACTTAGAGAAAGGCACTGAGCAAATGCCATATTCTATGAACTGAAACAAATGAGAGCTGATCTGTGTCCGTCCAGATTAACATCTGCAGGTAGAACCTCCATCTGGACCATCATTCCCTCTCATGAATATTCCAACAATTTTAACAAGGTAGCAAAGGAAATATGAAACACCCTTGCAGATAAAGAGAAGGATGTTTGATAACATGTCACCTGTGGATGCAAGATGAGTAGGGACAGGTTTTCTTTAGTTGAAACCTGACTGGAAGATAATTTAGGGGTAGATTGAGGAGGCTCTAGTTAAAACACCACCTAGAATTTTGATAATATTTATCAACTTTTTATCTCAGCACTCTGGTATTTGCTGAGAGAACAGTTGTCAGGAATGAGCCACTTGAGAAAGCAAATTGCATCATGATAAAACAAAGACAATGACTTCAAAATTTGTTTATATACAATTAGTAGCTCTTTGCATAAAACAATGCTGAGGGGAATAAAATGCACTCTGAAGGTAGGTTACCAGGGAGGTCTTATTTGAGGTGATAAGGAATAATTTTTTCCTATCCCATCAAGTGCTCATGTAAATCACATTAAATTTTCTAAATTTGATTCCTGAACTAACTGCCTTGGCTTGAAGCAGAAATTCAATCTTGGATCTAGCAATTCTCTCAGCAGAAGCTTTGCTGAACTCTCAATTCATGACTTAAACTTTGTTTCATTTCAATATACCAGGGGGTTTGTAGACAAGCATTTGAATCAAAACACAGCAATTTACAGCGCTCTCTGTATCTTACTGTGAAGAGCCTAATAGTATAAACTGTTTGTAGACAACCGCAAGGGTACCTATTTCAGGATCACAGATGTCCAGAGACACAAACCAGTGAATTGAGAATACATCATAACCTTTGAGTCAAATGGGAAGAATGTTATCTACCTTAAAAATACATGTTTTTCTATTAACAAGAAAAGGGTTACTTCACAGGAGTGATAGGGGAAGAAAAGCTTACTAAAACATCTACAGGAGATACTAAAAATAAAGCAACGCAATTTAAATAGCTCTCACTGCTACATAGTGAACCATGTTCCAAGTTTGGGCCACTGTACAAATCAGCTTTTTGATTATGTCACTGATACTTTTGGTACCTCGGTTAAGTCACAACCAATGTCATTGTCATATGAAATGAACTCGGAGTTCTAATGAACAATAATCATTAATAAATCACCCACTGAATTTCTTTAGATGAGTGAATGAAGAATCAATCACAAAAAGATGAATCTGGTGCCAGTTTCCACTTCCTAACCTATACAATGGCTAGTTCTGTAATGACCATCCACAGCAGTCTTATACAGCTGTATTCTACCCACTCAAAAGGTATCTGCAGTAGTCTTTTACACTCCATGTAAATATTTATCAACATGTACCTTCAACCTTTAGTCATCTTTACCTATAATTTAGAATCTAAAGACTAGTAGGAGAATAAATCTGTTCACAAAACCCAAGTATTGCTAACAACTTCAGTGCACGAAGTGGACTAATATTCATTAGCTTAGGGCCTTACTAGAACATTTGCTTTGATCTCCCTCAAAGAAGGGCTATATTAGAATGTTTCAATTAGTATTACATATTAAAAATTAAAACCTACTTTAAATATTCCTGATAGATAAGTAAATGCTGAGTGTGCTCCTTCTATGTTCAGACCTGTGCACTGAGCACCAATAATGGAAGTGGGGGTAAAAGGGATAAGGTTTTGCCCCTTCAGTAGAACTTCAAAGATGATTAATCAAGGAGGAAAAGATTTCTAGAGGGGCTTATGCTGTTCAGGAATGATTAATCATTTCACAGGACTCCTTGTCCCTTGCATAATGGTGATTGGAATAGATTAATCATGTTAATGCAGATAAAGGATTGTATCAATTTGGACTGTATTAACACAGAAATTATTTGCATAGTAGGCGGCTTTGTGTTTGCAAAACAACTTGGTTTTGACTAAGAAAGCCTGTAAAAAATTAGAGCAGCTCTTTCTTGCCAAGCAAATTAAAGGTGTATTAACTAATCCATGCCCAGTACAGCTTTCCTAACACAGCAAAATAAAGCAAGAGATATAAACATGCTGACTAAAAGCTGGCTTGCAGGTAGATTTGCTGATCAACCTCTTTGCTATTCTTCTCTCATTTTGGACTTAATCCTACATCCTGGCTGAGAACCCCCAGAGTCACAAATACCACTACTGCCCAAATTAACTTCACAAAAGATAGCCAGTCAGCTCCCTCCACTCCGTGTGTGTGTGCAGCACTGTCCTGTCTGGGTAGCACTGAAGGCTCCAAAAAACACTCCACCAAAAGGAACTTAACTGCTTTAGGTGGCTTCCCAGCATATTTTTTTTTTTTTCAGTCCAGTTTTAAGGTAAATATTTTTCAGATGGTGGCCATGTCTACATAATAGCTTGTATGTTTGCATGCAAAAATGACTGCACGTGCACTGAGCAAACTGTATGGATACATGACAGCTCTAAACTGCATGCCATGCAACCAGGCAAGGGCAGAACTGAGCGCTGTCCCGGCAAGCATCGCTCCTGTGATTAGCAGGGACTTGTTCATGTGTGACTTAAATAAGATCTAGATATCTTTTATTTAATACGCTCCTCCTAAAAGGGAAAAAGACTGTAACAAATTGTTAGCTAGCCAAGCTAAAATAAAGTATTGTCAGCTTCATCCCACAAACGCATATATGCAACTTCAAAAGCCATCGGCATGGTTACACTGTGTACAGAAGACGTAACTTGACTGAATTCCCCTCCAACATACCAGGCCTTCCAATAATAACCCAGACATCATTGGAAGCTTTGGCAATAGCCCATCTCAGGGTCCTCTCATTATGCCATCTGACACAGCCAACATAACTGTGTGTCTCTAAACAATTACAAACTACTTTTTTTTTTTTTTTAAATCTTAAGAGACAGGTGGGAGCTGAGGACATCTTTAGGGACTCTTATCTTTCTAGCACAGGTGGGCTGCTATTTTCCATTGAACATGATCCAATCTTTTGGTTTTGTTCAACTTACCCATTTAATTTACTGTCCTGCCCATAACATTAAAGTTCTTAAGGCTGATCTGGACCCTCTGCGTATGTCCAGAAACAATAAACAGCAGTAAAAAAAATCCTTCTAACAACTTTTCAGTTCACAGCATTATCACAAGCAAGCAAACCAGACTATTAAGCACTTCATGCAAGTCTTCTCATCCCACTAGACCAGCTAACTTTTTTTTTAATAATTAATACCTACCTGTATCTGAAAAACTTGCAAACTGTTAGTTGAAGTATTAGAAAAATAACTGCTTTTTATTTCAAATCAAATAGTTGAATAACCTTACATAAAACACTGGGAGGACTATGATGATTAATAATGTGAATGGTCCTATCGCTACAGCCAATTTTCCAATCATTTTTGAAACACAAATACTGTCATCCTGAAGCATTCATCACTGTAGAACTCCAATTAGTATAGCTACTTGGCCAAAATTGCAAAAGCGGGATGCACTAGGCTCTTTTAATTGTTTATGAGCACTTTTCAGCCAGCATTTAGACTCACACTTATTTATTTCAGGTTTTACTTTTCTACTCCAGGAGTCACATCTTATTTCAAGGCATTTCAAAATTAGACTTGGAGCTATGTTTTAAGTCTTACTATATGCTTATATATTCTGCTGAAATAAAGCTCATGAAAAGTTTCAGGTCCAATGAGGCACCTGCTGTGCCAGACAGTAGATATCTTTCTTATTCAATATAGCACTCATGGTTCAGTTGCATAAACAGTTTGCCCTGGAAAGGGAAGTGACTTTTAATAAAGCCATGTGGCGTCTCTTCCCCTCTTTCTGCTCTTAAACAGCATTTCAATCTGTAAATTAATCCTACCTTGTGATGATGGGAAACTTGCTGAAGCAGCAGCTGAACTAAAATCAGCAAATCCTCCAAATGGGTCAGTTGATCCACCTAGAAACAGAAGGAAGCCAAATGCTGTTACAGGATTGTGCAAAGATCCATTGCAACAACTGCATGTGGGATTTATGAAGAAAAGCTGTTCTGTATTTGGCAAGATGGATTTATTGATCCCGCTCCCTCAGTCGGCACCGTTTTTCCTGTTCACCACCACACTATATACAAGCCTGAACAACAAACTGGATTATTTCCAACTGCCTTGCAGATCTTGCAATTCTTTTTTTCCTAGAGAAGAACTAAAAGATGCAAGTTTTTGCTATTTCTAAATACAAACTTAGAGAGATTAAAAAGGTTAACAGGTTTTTAACTAGTGAGGGGTGCTACTAGTTTGACAGTTTGTAAAATTAAAACTTTGGAAGCGTAGTATGTAAGTGCCAAACATTCTTACTGTATAAAAGTTAATTTATTATGCTTACTATGAAAAATTACACGTCGCCTTATATTTAGTTTTTGTGTTACTTAAAGCATGAATGATTCTGCAGTGATCTTGAATTGGGATTTCAAGGACAGAGCATGCATTTGTGTTCATTTTTTAATAACTATGCTTTCTTTCTACAGCAGGAACATTAAGTTTTCCAACCAGGCATTTGTATACAGCATATAAATTATTAATTTCTGAATACAGCATAGTAACAATTTTTCACTAAAAAATACAGCCAAGGTATAAAAACAGAAGAAAGATTTAAGAACCATATTGGAAAGTTGCCTTAAAAAAAAAAAAACAACACACCCCCCCAAAAAGCCATTTACAAAAAAAACCCAATCCAATTATCCTTGATTCTGCTTTTAAATAGGTATTCCACTGACCTGAGAAAATTAAGAAGTTGACCTTATTTGTTTGTCCTCAAAGATTTCACCTCCAAGCAGTCCCACCCTTAGAAGAAGCTGCAGCAGTTCAATTATTTTGCTTTTAGTGTTATGTGTACATTATATAGGTTACATCACAGCTGCTTAGCCTGCAGTGCTTAGAAACTAGCCAGGTGGGACTGGAACATCTGTGCTGCACTCAAACACCACCAGGGACAGCTTCCAACATCTGGTGCCATTTCTGAATTGTCTTATCGCTGCAAGACATTCTGCCCCATCTGCTACTCTCAACTGGGTTAATTAAACTAGAACCATCTCCTTTTTAATAAATGGCTAGCAGTAATAAAAGGAACCATTCACTTTCTAATACATGTGTACTTGTATTTCTTTTTAATGTTATTTTACTGTAGACATTGCCAGGAAGGCGACTGTTCTTCCAAGGGGAAATGTCTTTTCTTGCTGAGTGCATAGCATACGATATAAAACATAAGAAGGGAATGCAAGGATGGTCTCTTAGAATTTTCAGAAATACAGCACTACTGAAATCCTTTTGCCACCTTTCAAGAGGGAGAAGATTTCACACAAAGTTAAGACATTTCTTAAACACAAATTCTGAAGTGATCTAATAAGCCTCTTACATATGTTTATATACAAGTTTTACACTGAATGCAACCTGAGAATGAAAAAGGGTAAGATGAGCCAGTGAAATACCAAGCTAAAAACCTGCTCTGATCATGTTTACTCTGCCTACTGCAATGAACATTTTCAAATCATTTTTTGCATCACGGGTCCTTACAGAGTTCAGAACAGGTTAATGGTTTGAGAGTTTATATGCAGAATAAGCAACATGGATGACATACTCTTGAGCACATCTTCAAAAAAAAAGTAGTCAATGCTCTCATGCTATGCCTATTATCCCTGGGCTGTTTGACAAAGTATCTAGGGATTAATTTAATTTTAAAAGCAGAGCTCGGTTCAAACCCAAAATAACCCCTTAACATTTTCAGTCAACTTTTCTTCCACCTCTATTGCCTGTTTTCAAACGAAACTGAGTTCCAGAGAGGTGGCAGAGCTTAAGCTGAATGCAGTAACTCTAAAGAAAGGTATCAACCAGCTAAGACTAAAGAACCTCATCTCCAGTAACACCAAAAAATTACTTCCAACAGGTCTAACCACAGATTCTACATCTTCTCAAACAGATTGCTTCTTTATGGCAACCAACTGCCCCTCTCACATACAAACTGTGTAACCCCCCCAAGCCTCACCAACTTTCTTCCACATCTCTGCACCTGAAAACACACAGATAAGCAAATTCTGAGTTCCCTGAATTCACATGACTTCCCTGCCAGTTCCTTCACAGGACAGATCAAAGGCTGCACTTGACCCTTTCCCTGTGTCTTGCCTGACACTGGGAATGTTCCCACACCCTGTGCTGCAAGGAACAGTGGTCATAACAAGTGACCTGCACGTGAAGGACAGTGCTAATCTTCTCAACATGAGCTATCCTCAAAGATTCCCATGTGAGATCTGTCACTACAAATGAACCCTTTCCATCTGCCTTCCCAGGTCAGCAAAGAGGTTATTTAGCAGGACCAGCTGGTAATATGCCTCTTCTCAACACCATTTCTAAATGCTGCTTTGGAAAAAGAAGAAAAAAGGGAGAAAGAAAAAAGGCTTACTACAGAAAAAAACAAATTGATGAAAGACTCAAATACATTATAATATGGAAGCTGCTGTAGTTCTGTTTGAAATATGGGAAGGTTCACTTTCAAGTGGAAACATCTATTCACAACGTGATTATATTTTTACATATAAAAATAAAAACATACACATATATATATAAATAAAACAACAAAAGACTCTAATCTCTTTTCCCATAAGAACTGGATAGGAGACATTTCAGTATTGACTTGGGGCAGTGGTTCTGAGCTAGGATCTTAAAATTCCATCGACCTGTGGCAGCTCCAATATACAATAAACACCTTTGTATAGGAAGTTAATAAAAATAGAAAGTAATGCAAAATAAGTTGTTCCTTAAATTTGAGGGAATTTGTGCATAAAAGAACAGATGCATGAAATTAATCTTCTTTCTTAACTTTCTTAAGAATTAACATACACTTTGGAACAGACATAAACTTTACTTTCCCCAAAATAAAAGTGAACAGTTTTAAAGATCTACCAGAAATAAGGAAGAAAAGATTGAGACAGATCTCTGACACTAAATTACCATGACAATTTCCCTCCACTCCAGTAGAGTTTTGATGTATTTTATAATCTATTAAATAATTATAGAGGTAGGGTTTTGGTAGCCAAGTGATGAATGGAACTGTATTGCTTAGAGTGATCATAATACTGGCTTTGCTCATACATTATAATAAAAACACCTAGTGTGAGATTTTACAGGGGTTCCTGCTACAATACACCTAGAAGTGGCATAACTTCAGACAGAAGTGAGTAAAAGTAGTCTTTACACATGCATAAATGCAGCCATCTTGCTACAAATATGGGCTTCCACCCACTCTGGACTGACATTTTTTGGTACAGGCTCTGTGATTTGACATTGTCTTTAAAACAAAGACTGGAGCTGAATATCTGTTGTGCCCAAGATATTCACATTGTTTGTAGAAGTGTACATGTGTATGATCCCATATATAATAAGAGAAGTTGCTTATCTGTAATGGAGAGAAGTTACATGAAAGGGTTCTATCTGTGAAAAGGCACATGCTCATATTATTTGCTCTTCAGAGTGATCTTTAAACAAAAATTCTGTCCACTGTCAACTCTCCCCCAAACGTGCCCTTAGACCACAAGTACATGGAAGTTCTCTTTCTGTTCCATGCTAGCCACACGCAAAACTCTCAATACTAAGAACCCGCAACCACAAGTCTTTTAAAGTTTTAGGTTTTGGAAAGCAAACCACCAAACAGCTGAACCCCTCTATCAATCCTGTATGCAATGCACTGAAATTTAAACACACACCTGAAAAGAAACTGCATTTTGAGAGTGTAAGGGTAAGTCCATATGGAGGTTAATGGACTTAAAATTCAACTGCACATTTAGAAAGTGAAGGGACATGTTTTACAATGAATAATTCTATTTTTAGGTAGCAATATATTTTTGGTATGAGGGTTGGGATCAACCAAATGCCAAGACAAAATGAGATAAGAAACAAGTTTGCCACATACTTTAGATGAAAGCTTATATGAAGATCATCCATCTCCAGCTGCCTAGCCTTCGAATTGAACTATGAGAAATGCCTGAATGTGAATGGATTGCACTTGCTTTTAGAGTTAATTATAAATAACTGCATTACAAACACAGTTTCTGACAGATTGATCTTGCAGTTAATGTTTATGCTGCTAAAATTTATTAGCCCCATGCACAGCACATACAGTACCTTGCAACAAAAGGTTCCAGGCAGCTCTAAATTTTTTGAGCATTCATTTGTCAATTTATCTACTACTCTACCTATATAACAAACAAGCTTATCCTCAGAAATGGTTCAAAATATGCATTAAGAAAGTAAAAACAAAATGTGCTTACCTGTTGAAACTGGCTGGCTAGCTCTGTCAAACAACAGATCAACCAGGTCATTAGATGACTTGCTGCCAGAGGGTACAGAAGCCTGAAGAAGAAATCACACAATAGATCACATCTCATGTTGTTATCACTCATCTTAAATGACATTGAGTAGTTTTCTGGGTGCTTTGTTTTGTTTTGGAGAGATGGCAGATTTATTTCTGAAGCCAACAATCACTGGAACCTGGCTAAACTTCAAATCAAACAGTAAGCAGCTAATGGCTCTAGTTTTTTTCCTGATAGCTGAAGAATTTGATAACTTGTCAATAGCTGTGTGCAGGTTCAGACAATCCCTCACACTTCAGGCCGAGATTTTATCTTTTCTTTCTTAAAGATAATAAAACATGGTAATGACTACATTAAAAAAGATTATGCATCTTAAAGAAATTGCACAAAAAGGCGTTCTGTAAATAAACTGTTCCATTGCCTCTGAAAACCCCAATTAAACATTTTTGATAAAATAGTTCCCTTGAAAGTTGCATAACAAAAATTCTACCCTAAACTAGAAATTGTCTCAGAGGTTAGAAGAAAACTGTTTCCAAAGTCATGTTTTGTTCTGTTTTGCTGTCTCACCTTTGCTGTTGGCTGTGCAGTATGGGCAGCAACATTCTGTTCTGGACTTGCTTTATCCCCTGTATAATGTGCTGCTGCTCCCAAGTCAATGGTTTTTGAAGGATTTGCTGTGCGTTTGTGTCTGGTGGTGGTAGTTTCTGTAGCTTGTGTAATATGAATGTGTTTTGTCGTCACAGTCTCTTCCTCATCTTTAAATTCAGCTTTGGGAGATTTACCTCTTCTTGATTTTTCCTCATCACTGTCACTAGAAAAACAAAAGTGATAGAATACCATTCATGATGGACTTCAGTGGACACGTGGCTTAAGCCACAAGAGTTTTGGTTACTGTAGCTCTTTGTAAAAATACTGCTTCTTCCTACATTTGAGAAAGAAAATACCCTTACATAAGGCATCTACATAACACAGGATAGCACCTATTGTAGAAAAGTGATGAAGAAAAGCAAGTTATTTTCTTAAACTTTAACTGCAAGTCCATGGCAGAGGATAATAGGAAATCAGTGTTTAAATCCAGTACATTTAATTACCTTCTGACAAGAACTCCCCCACACATTATATAACACTTCAGCAACAAAAAGTTAAGTTGGCAGGTCTGCTCAGTACTTACACCAAGAGACAGAAAGCAGTGAACCAGATACAGGTACTATCTTTCAGATTTTGAGAATTCCATTCCCGTTTCAGCTCATTTCCATTTCCAGAGAAATAGGCATTTATATTCTTTAAAATGTTTGTGGAAAATTAATGTTTACAGAATTATGCAATGCAATGATATAATTCTTTTTCTATCAGAGAACACATATTTATTCTTAAGATGTAAAAGAACAAAAGTGTCACCATTTTAGGCAAAAACCTGTTAGATGTCACTGCATAATATTTAATCCGTTACATTTTCTACTTTTATATTTTAAGCCTTCCACAAACAGATCAGTTGCCCCCCACCAACAGTCATGTTGCCTGTTATCAAAGTAAGTTTTGTATATAACAGTGAAAACTGCTGTAGAGAAAGCTTAAATACATTGAAAGGTATTTTGAAATAGTAATTCCCTTAGCAACATGGTTGCAAGGAGAAGGTTTTTATATTTTAATAATGCACTAGAATACTAAAACTGCAAAATTTAAGAAAGGCTGTCCCTTTGTCTGTGGGAATATGACAGTAACTGCAATATACTCCGGAGGGTAGCCTTTGTTCTCTGTTAACAATAGTGTGCTTTTTGGAATACACTGCATGTGTCATTTCCTCTATGCATAGTACCTACTCACCACTAGGGATGGCTCAATTCATTAACATCAGTGAATAGAAATGCTCACTCCCCTTTTTTAATCTTTTATTTTTAACAGTAAAATATCATAGCTGCTGGCCAACCTGGCAACCAGCCCTACACAGACAAGTGAGCTCAAATGGCATCACCTAACCTTATCCTTCCATGGCACTTCAACCCCAACGTACAACAACAGGCCCACTGTTCCCGTTCTGGATTTCTGCAGACAGCCTACCTACGTACACAAATATATCAGAGAGGACCAGTAACCACATTTTCATTTGTGACATCAGGATTTTAACACAAGCCCCCAGGAGCAGACTGATCTGCACATTAGCACGTTATACATGGTACATCCATCCTAAGAGCTTCAAAGGAACATGGATGATGTTGCCTTTTAGATGTGTGTTGAAAGTATCTGAGACCAGGACAATCACAACTAAGGCTCAGTCTCTTAAAACCTGCTGCAATGTATTTCTGCTCATCACTACAGAGCCTGCTTAGTCCATATACACACTCTGTGGGTCGAGGAAGTGATTGACAACCATCAAAGTCTGATCAATGGAGCTATTGTTACAGAACTGTTAGAGATCAATCTCACTAATGAAAGAATGAAAAAAAGTGAGTCTTTGATGATCTACAGCAAAATTAATGTCTAAAAGCTTTTGAGAAAATAAATTAAACATATGTGCCAGAAAGCAGGACAAATATTACAATACTCAATTTTCTATGACAACCAGTACTGCTTCCAAACTGTCTCAGGAGCTCTGTTTTTTATTTTTCTTTAATGGTCACATTAAAAAAAAATTTACAGATTAATGTTCCCTTTAAGTGTGTTTACTGTGCTCAGAATAGTAAAATTGCAGTGCTTCATCTGAGGATTGCAGAATGAACTTAAAAATAAAAGTTATAGCTAATGTTGTACCAAATAATTAAAAAAAAAAAACTTCTGCAAAGGAAGTACATGGTTACAACTTCCAGAAATCAAAGTATGGATACATGCTCTTTTTCTTTGCCTTAAGGTTTTTGTGCTGTGAGGGTTTTTTTTTAACGTTCTTCAAGGCAATAAAAATAGTTTACTGATACTTTAAGACTATCTGAATTATACCCTACTAAAAATGTAAACCTTTACATGGAAGTTGCCTTTAAACATTGCTGTTGCATCCTTCTGTGCGTATACTAAAAGTTTTGCTTCCTTTCTCTTCTGACTACGGGAAAAACAGGGATTGACAGAGTTTTAAAGGTCTTATAAAAAAAATTGTAATATTTCAGAAGAATCTCTCTATATCTGCAGGTAATTTAGAAAACAGAACTTCAGCATACAATCCTAGATTCAGGGCAATTGGTTTATTCGTCCGAGATCTAAGAACTAACAAAGCACTATGGAAGAAAACCAGAAGTTTTCCCATCCCACGGGGTATTGTTTCTAGACTTCTCTACTTCCAAGGGGATAATCCAATGCCCCCACAGCAATACTAACATTTTTCTTCTAAAGAAAAAAAGGCAGACTAGGCTTCTCCAGTTAGCTGTGTGAACTATAGTGTCACTGAAATTCACTGTACACTCAAACCAGCTGTGTCACAGGTAAAGTTCTTAGTTACTTCAAGCATAATTTTTTTTCTTCTATGCAAACTACTAGCTTTGCAAGTAGAGTCAGAAATCCAGAAGTTTGGCCAAGTTCTTCTGGTGTGTATACTGGAGGTAAAGACTGTGTCATCCAAATGCCATTTACAGCTGAGATGATGTGTAAATCGCATTTATTCTTTATGCTTCAAGATCTTTATTAGGTTTACAGTACTAAAGTAATAATGATTTATAAAGCTATTAAGATAGAAACAATAGAGCATACAACAACAGATTTGCCAGCTGAGCTAATATCACCATTTAGTCACTTTTCCAAGGGAAAAGGCAACTTAATTCAATGTTATTATATAGCAGCAGGCTACAAAAACTAGTAAATTTTTGGAGGATTCTTTTGTGTTTTTAGAAGAAAAATTGCTGAAGTGTGAAAACACAGAAATGCATGTATTTCATGAAGCATTTTCAAGAGAATGTTATGTTGTGAGCTTAAGTCACATGATAAAATTTCATGTTTCTTTCCGTTTCAATACTTAACTTTGTACAAAATATAGTATTCTTTTAATACAACATGAATTATAAGTTTTTTATTTACCGTATGTTCAAGTATAGACATACATTCTATAACCTTGAGTTTAATCTTCTTGGATTCTTTGATGCCTTCTGTAGAAAGAAGGCCCTTCATTTCAACACTGATAAAATACCTTTCATGTTGTCTAATCACCATGCCAAGAGAAGCCAAAAGGAAATTTCAGCTAGGAGCTGAAGCAATGTTAGAGAAGCCATACTGCTGCAACCCGGACTCCTTCTTATGGCGGGATAACCTGCAACTACCAAACTGGTTTTGCTCACATATGTCCCATAAAATCCTCATTTTATTTCAAGTCCTGAGTTTATTGCTTTCATAAATTTTGAGACAAATACCGCACCTGATATTTACCAAAAAAAGGAAGAAAAAAATATAAAAAAAGGGACAAAGGTTACATGAGAAAAACAAACATGAAAAATGTAATATTAGCCAGAGAAAAACCTCAGGGTAAATTGGGAGAGATGTACAGTGGAGGAGTCCTCAAAATAAGCTGCTTTTTATGAAGATTAGACTACAGAAAGGACTGTCTAAACCACTGGAAGGTGCAAGACTTTATACCAGCACAAGTAAGAGGCAAGGAGCTATTCAGAAATAAAGCAAAGGAAATAAGGTAAAAAAATGTTCACTGTACATCCTCTACATGCAGTGTGCATGGTGAGCTTTACAGAAGTTGTGACATGTTGCTTTTGAAAGGTAAGTACAGAAAAGCACACAGCAATATACCATTGTTAAATGTGAAATTGTTTACTTTTCTTCTGATCCCTTCTCTTTGTAGTCTATTGATAGTAAGTTCTAAGAGGGAACCCTGATGTGTGCAAAAAAATATCAGTTTTATGATTTATTAATGCCCTAGCAAGACAACCATACTGACTTTTTTCTCAGAAATGCTACCATTATAATTATTTTTTGCTTCCATGCATAATTGCTTGACTTTTGTAATCTATACGTGTGTGTGTGCTTGTGTATTTTTACACACACATATATAAAAATGTGTGTGTGACTATCTGAAGATATTCTTGTAAAAAATATTATTCAAATCTCAACGCAAATTTAAATTTTAGGTTGTTTCCCAAAAGGGAATTATTTCAATATACTTGAGTACTTCCTCTACAGCAATTTCAGATTCTGTTAAGTACAAATTTGATCTCCAGGATAATAACATTCAATGCACCTGTTGAAGTGTGATGTATGTAAAGTTCCTTCTGCAGGCAAAGCAGGGTAGGTTTTCTTTCTTACTGAACAAATTTAATGGCCAGATGTAAAATACAAGTTTCTTGAGAAGGTTCAACTGATTTTTTTTTTTTTTTCTTTCTTTCTTAAGTCACTTGCAGTCTGTTCTTCCTGAGATCAGCTCAGGGAAGGAGCACTGTGTCAAGGTAGGTCTAAGCAATTTTACATCTCCCTGTTTGGCACTTCAGCATTCGGAGTAACTGTAGCATTAAACGGCAGCCTCCAGTATACTGGTGCAAGGAAGATCACTGAATTGCTGAGACAAGGAAAAGCTTAGGAAGTTTCAGCCAAATTCCCTGCTTTGCCAGCAGCTAAGCTAGGGGCAGTAATGGAAGGCAGCCAAGAGCAGTTAACTGTTGACAGAGCTACATTATTCCCCAAGGCCAGTAAAAGCTGCATAAGTAGTCCAGGAATTAGGTATCGAACCCAAACATGATTCCATACAGACAAAAAGAGTGGTAGAGTATTGTAACTAATAATCAGCAAATGTCAGAGAGCTTTATAATAGCAATTTCACAGAATAAATTATGTTAAAATAACTCCAGTACCTGCACCTTTCCGGAGAGTCTTCTCTATCTTTCCTTCGGAACTTGCTGATGGTATCATCGATCGTGCTTCCAATTTTGTCGCTCAGCTCACCTAACTTATCACTGAATGGAAAAGCTGTTTTTTTATCCCATTCTTCATCCCATTTTGACTTGGGCTCAGGATCATATCTTTCACCTGTGTAAGACATTAAGATAAGAAAAACTAAAGGTAACAGGAAAAAAAAAAATGCCTGTGGTCTTTCTGGAACCACTCTCAAGCCTCCCTGCCCTACATACATAAACCTTACAAGTTTTCAAAGCAAACTGAAAGCTCCCACAGTGCTGAATCAACACTATTACAGCAAGGCACAGCATGTAATGCCAATCATTAAGTGGCAGGAATGCAGATTCAAAGATTTTTGTTTATGACAACGACACAATCTTAATGCATTGCACAGCACAGCACATCAGGATACTGTTGGACTCTGCTGGAGAAGCAGAGGCACAATCAACCCTGGCTGCATAAGCATCTTACCAGAAATGGGATGTGCCAGTTTTGTAACAGTCACTTAATACACGATATTCCATTCTTAGCCAAGCTGTGGGCTCAGAGGTAACTCAAGTTGGTGTTTTTTTTTATACACTGACATTCATTAATACGCAAAAGTGTAGTACCAAAATATTGAAAGCCCTATGTGTACAACACGTAACTTTCTGTTCTTTTCCACACTCTGATTAAAAAAACCTTTTAAAGAGATGAAAAAAAGAAGAGGCCAGTAAAGCAACTCATCAGCAGCCACTGAGTACCCTGAACATCTTTACTAAACACTATTATCAAGAATTCAAAACCATTCTTTTTCTAATCAAGTATTTGAGATCTCCATACTGGTATCTTAGCTTGCAAACAGCTGACAGTTTTACTTGAAATAAATACATTTGCTGTACAATCTCATTAAGAAAGTTTAAAGAACTTACATATGGGTTTATTTATACGCACCCAGCCAACCTAAGTTTAGTGTTTATTTTAAAAGAAAAAACAACACTTGCATTTTAACAAAGACTTAACTACCAGAAGCACAGCCCACTTTACTAACTTGTATTGTGATCTTAGATCTGACTTTCTGCTGAAAATATAAGTATACAAAACCACCCAATAAAAGTCAGTTTCTAGACAATACTTTATAGACAAGCATTTTATATTTTGGGCCATCACACACATGAATCGAGGCTTTTTTTTTTTTGTACTACTGAATAATGTGAAACACTAGTTAAATTTTTTTACTTAAGCTGAGTAAAACTGAGTTGCAGAAAGGAAGAATGGTGAAAAATTCATTACTTCAAGTTGCATACAATTTATATTGTAGTTCAGGTAATGTTCAAGATGTACTTAATTAAGCCTTTTTTAATAAGAAGAAACCTACAGATTCCAGTACTACAAGGTGTAAACTTTTAATTATATCTGTCCAATAATATCGTATACCAGAGGATGTATTTTCTTAATTCAGAGATAAGTGCAAGTCTCCAATGATATTTGTTTAGATCCATAAAGGACAGACAACTTTGTCACAGTAGAGAACCTGTTACAAATCAGCAAGATACTCAGTGAGATCTTTATCACTGAGAAAGGAGAAATTGCTAAGAAATGTACTAGTGTTAAATTTTGCAGGGGAATAAAATGGCCTTGTTTCAGTTTATGTCAGGCTCTCAAACATTTTAATACCATTAGAATGTTTCTTTGTGCAATAGGAATTTTAAAATAAACTGAAAAGCAGCAAATGCTCTGTATTTTCAGGACAAAAAGAATTAAGGAAAACCCTGACAATACAAGCATTTTATATTTAAATAACTAAAATCTTTTAGATTAGAAGTCTGACCTGAGAAAAAGTTTGTTTTGTGCTGCTAGAAGGATTATTTTTTTTTTAGTCAACAAATAATTAATAATCCTTCACCATAAAAATGAAATACAAAGGAGATAGTCCTTTAAATTAGAAAACTTGAACTAAAGAGCATATGGAAAAAGAGTTCTACCCAGCATACAGGGATAGATCACGACTGTACAGAGCAAGTCAAAAGATAAGCTCAGAGGAAGAACAGAGGGACATGTACTTAAAGTACAAATCTAGTGACTCATAGATATTTCCTAAAAAGAGAATCACCAGCATTCCAAGCAGGTAGCAAATGCCTGAAAGAATATAATGAACATGACATATCCTGCCATGGAGATACTTTCAACTACTCTACATATGAGGAAAAGGGAGAAGAGAGGAACATGGAGAAGTAACCTGTCAAAACCAGAAGAGAGCACATCTAATAAGGCTCACAGTGAAGAAGAGTAAAAAACATACATAGCACCAGAGAGGGACAGGTGAAGTTTAAGTCCTGCACAGTTACTACTCAGATCTTACACCAAGTCTTTTCTCAAAGAAGTCACTGATTCCAGCAAACCAGAGCCTTGCGCCATTGTGACTCTGAGACTCATCCTTTAATAAAAGCAGCCAAGGATTTACTCAGGCCAAAGAAAAAAAACATGGATAAACATCTCAAGGCTAACAGCTGGATCACAGTCAACATGCATCAGACAAAGTCAGTTCAAGCTCAGATCCCTGCTACACATTATGGCAGGGACCAGGGAGTAAGAAGGAAGCTGCACACGTGGACTTGATAAGGAAAACGTAGAACTGGTTGTGTGCCTTTATCTAACCAAGGCTGCCAGAGAAAACCGCGTCTTCTCTAAAAGACAAGCTGATGGCATTACATCCTCTAAGGCCAAGATCTTACAAACACACTATGCTGTAGATGCAAATAGTCTGGCAGAACTCACTGTTCACATGAAGAACATTGGTCACCTCAGCAAAACTGGTGAATTTAATTCTAGAAGCAAGGGTACAGACTACCTGTCAACATAATTCAGATTTTGGGGGTTTTTTCTTTTGTTCTTTGTTTTGTGTGTGTATGTTTTTAAATAAAGGACCTTAGTAACAAAAGTCCTATTGCAAGTACCAGACCCAAGCTAGATAAAGAACTGGCACCTTGTGTAATGATGGCTGAGACTAGTGATGGCTGGATTCTTTAAATTTTGGGTTTTGAAAATCTGATGGCATGTTTTCTTATTTTTTTATTTTTAATGAGGGAGCAGATGACCAAGTGACCCTTCACACGTATCTTTTAAAAATATACAATATACATATATAAAAATAATTTGTTCTTAACAAAAAGTTTAGAACAAGCTTTCTGGTGTTGTGACCTCTTCACTGGCAGCTGCAATTCCCTAGGATTTAGGGATGAGCACTGGTGCACTGAATTCCCAGCCTGCATATGGGTGTGCTGTGCAACCAATATCCAGCTGCATGCTCTGTATGTCTACATAAAGTAAATCTGGTAGTGCTTCTGGGAGCATGGGACCTATAGTATTAGTCAAAAAAGATTTTAAAAACACACAAACTAAGACAGTAATAACTGTATTGATAAACTCCTGAAATAGAATTTATCACTTACAAGGTACTTAATGCAGATATTTAAAGTTAGATCTGACAGACATCAGAATCCATACAGCTAATCCACAGATATCTTTCAAGCGTCCAAACAGTATTACTTGGGAAACCAAAAAGTCTAATGGCATATAATAACTACGTGTTTCATCCAAACAGTATTACTACCCTAAAACCCCTAACCCAAATTAACCGATGGTTCTAAAGGAGGTTGGCAGGAATAGGTGAAGCAATTCTTGTGCTGTGGTGGGTGGAAAGTCCTACCACTTTTTTTTTTTTTTTTTTTTTAATTAATGACTAAGTAACCCTGACTTACAAAGGCATTTATTTATCTACTTCTGCTACAGCAGCATTCATTTCACAGTGAGACTCTGCCTATGAATAAAAACAAGACAGACAAGTTTTGGTTAAGCCAATACATTAAGGTCATTTGTACAAGTTCCTGGTCAGTTATTACCTAAAAACAACTAACAAGCATTTTTAAAGGAATTTAAATTTATGTGGGGGAAAACGTGCAAGATTTATTTTATAATAGTAACACTGACAGTTAAAGAAATATAAAGAAAAAGCATATAATGGTGCATCTTTAATTCCTTATGTTATCTGTGTTATCCAAGAAAAGTTAAAAGTTGAGATTGTCAATCCTTGACCAAGAAAGCCTAGTACTCACTGTATCTGAACCCTCCAACACTGTCTGAAGAAACCCCAATGTATTTGTCTTTGTTCTTCTTTGCTTTCTTCCTCTCTTCCCGAAGTCGATCATCATCTTGAGCAAATTCAACCATTTCTTTTACCTTCTGGCGTATGTTTATACCCTGGTCTTTGCCATTTTCATCTTAATAGGCAATGCGGGATAGAGATGATGGATGGAAGGGGGGGGGAAAGGAAAAAATAAATCAGAGGCAGCAATACTGAACATCAAACTGATACAAACATTTCAATTATAAACACAGCAGTGAGGGAAAGATCTTACGGCTGCTAAGGTCCACTGTGCTTGTTTAAAAGGGACCAAATCTTTTTTCAACACAAGTTCTCATCCTTAGTTAAATGACAGTTTTCATTGGATGGTGTATTTAGGAACATCTTACTGTTGCTGAAACATCGAGAAGATCAACAAAGACTGAGACAGAAATTATATTCTCCACTTGAGCAATTTTAACCCTTCAAAATATAACCCCTTTTCCTCAGTCTTTTTAGTACAGTTTTTGCAAGTTTAATTGTAAGAATTCAGTTTTATTGCAAAACAAAATTTTTGAAAAAATTGCTTTCAGTTGGGATGTATTACAATCTAAATGTGCTCCTTTCCCAGCCTTTTTCACATTCAAAACACACACTGGCTTTGCTGCCTTTGCACTGTAAATATTATTTGGTGGGAGTAAAAAACCCCAGCTTCAAACAGATGTGTGTGTTTTGGAGCTCTAACCTTTTCTTCCCATATGATTAAAGCTATTCCTTTATGGACACCACAGGGGACCAGTCTCTAGTGCATATTTTAATATAAACCCGAACACTCATGTTGTGTTGGTTCTGTTGTTATTAGCCAGTCTTTTCTGCAAGTTCTTGTCTTCACTAATTAATACTCTAGGGTCCCACGTCTTGGATTCTGCACTCTTCACACAACTGGCAACAGTCACATTCTAATTAGACCGGGGAAGCTTCTAAGCTGGTTCAGGTGACTGACAACTCCAACTACTGTTTTAATTTGCTTATAAGATTTTTCTATTGCTCACCTACAAAGTGGTAATTTTCCAGGGATCGCAAATCATAAATGTGTTCTCTGGCACTTGTAACAACACGCTCTGATCCATTCCTTATGAGGTAAGCTAGGAGCAGCAAAGACTATAAAAATACAAAGCACCTTATGATTGCATGAACAAAAGCTCTATCTTTTTTTTTTTTTAAAAAAAGGCAATAGAAAATCAAACCTACCCCCCTTCCCAAATTAGTAAGTAATAAGACTTTCCCCTTTTAAATAAATGCTTATTATATGGATTCACACAGAAAAAACATAACATTTTCCCCACATGCACCTTTTGCTCTTGAGAATATCAAAACTGTATTTGTCAAACAAATTTGTTATTACTAAATCATAAGTAGTTACCTTCATCAGCTACTGCTTATTTTAAAAGATAGCAGTAGCAATTTAAGAGCAAAAGTTACCCCTGCTAAATGAAGCATTTTATTTTGTCTCTTGTTCACAATTTTCCAATGTTTTCACTGAAAAGTAACTCCTGCAGAAATTTAAGAAGCCTTCTGCAGGATGCAATGGTTATACAAAACTGCATTTGAAGACAATTCTAAGCAAGCAACAAAACAAATGAAGCTTAAATAATATTTTAATTGCAATTTTTTATGTTGAGGATTTCTATCTAGAAAAATTAATGCACTTTATCCAAAGCTAAAACTATCATTGTATTTCAACCTATCCAAACTTGGTAAGAAATTCCAAGCAGTCTTTATAACATTAAGTAGCTATGCGTGATACCATTAAATATTAATTTATATTGTACTTCAGGGAAAACAATTACTATGAATACAAAACATCAAGCACCTGTGAAAAGCACAAACCATGACTTAGAATTTATTCTGTCTTGTTACAATCCTGGCATCAAGAGAAACAAAATATAAGCTAGTCTAATACATCAATTCTAAAAAATTAGGTTATATTTGCATAATTCAGTGAACACTGAACACCACTTTAAGTGCAGCATGATATAATCTTAAGCAAAAAGTTTCTGTACCATGCTATTTAACCAAAGACAAGAAAAGATGCAAATGATTCAGTTCTTTTTCCAAAATGCAAGTAGGACCCAAGTCCCATATGATAAGATCTGCAAGAAAATTTGGTCCACTCAAAACTAAACTACAATTTTTAGAGAATTATAAATTGGCAGAAAATTAAGATTAGTTTCCATTTTATTTCAGGTATTCTTGAATTTCTTCAAAAACATTTTTCTGATAACACAATAATTTGTCATCTACTTTTCATGATGGAGCACTGTAAGAACTCCTCTGGGTAGATTCAAAATGTGAACGCTACTCCAATACTTGAATATCAGCAAAATGTAATTGCTCTATTATGTTTGCTAAGTAGCATCTAAACACTTCTAAAACCAGAAATTTTGTGGGAGTTTTTTTGTGTTGGTTTTTTTTTTTTTTTTTGGTTTGGTTTGTTTTTTTTTAATACACCATTTTTTAATTCAGTAACAGAATTATAAAGCATTTATTTATGAAAAAAATCATAGGTTGCCAGTGGAGTAAGTGATATAGCAGCATCTAAACAAGACACTACATCAGAACACTATACCAGCAACAAGCATTATGTCCTTCATAGAACACTACAAAGTCTTGAATACTTCCAGCTCATAAACATACACACCTTATAAACTCTCCTCCAGTTCTTTTTATTGTCTTTCAGCATTCGAGTCCAAAGCATGTTCATAAGTTCTGGAAATTGTTCATACATAAACGTAGCCCTAAACAATTAAACAAAAGGAGTAAAGAATTTTTATTCTCTGTGGTTTGCCACCATAGCTTACGACTCAGGGCTGACAGTAGATGGCAGGCTTGATCTAAACCCATTCAAATTTGATGACATTATAAGGGAAAAAGCTATCCCTATTTCTTACTCATCTAAAAACAATTTACATACCAGTACTACACAAGAAAAAAGTAATCCTAAAAATCTGAGGCAGAAAGAGAACATTCACTGATTTGTAATGATGATAATGTTTAATGTGAATACCCTAAAAATCACTGCAACTAGTCAAACTTGCAACTTCCAAACTCATCTTAACAGAAAAAAGTTCAAGAATTTGATACGTTTTGTTCTATTTGGAAAAGTCACAAGAAAGCAGGTTGAAAATAAACACTTCAAAGTCAGATACATTATAAGACTGATGAGGCTACATAGATAAAAATCAAGAATTTAAAAAATACTTTGACTTTATTTTTTGTCTGACAGCTTTCAATACATTATAAGATTATGCATTAAAAAAATAAGACTTGATTTACAGCAACTTCTCAGCATTATCAGTCAGCATATTGCAGGGTTGATTTAGCAGCAAATTTCATACTGCTGTATAAAATGCACCTTTCTTCATCACTGAGCCAAATTATCACTTACTTGGCAATCTCTCCCATGAGTTGCCCTGAAGGTCCCCATGGATCATCATTGGTTGCTTCTCGAACCTTAGACTCTATTTCTGAATAATTCATAACCACATTGGTGCTGCAAAGGAAAAAAATTAACACACATGAAGATTAGCATCAAAACTGAGAAACACATGAAAACTTAATAATGACACTAGTGCATATCTCACTTAATGAGTTACCTCTACAGGGTGGGAAGAAAAAAAAAAAAACATCTTTAGTGCAGAAGTTACCCTGAGGACACTATGCAACACATTTAAGTTATCTTTAAGAAGGTTTTACTATTCTATTAGTCTTTAAGAATACAGATGAGAAACTAGGGATTACATTACAGCTGGATTCAGTCCAGTAAAAATGTCTTTTGGTCAAATTAAAATCCAAACTGAACCACTAGAGTCAAAGCTGATAGCTTCCCCATCTAGATGCGATTTGCTTACAGGTTTGTACGGTGCACAGTAGTTATTTGCAAGAGGCTTCATAAATCAGTCAAAAGCAGACTTTTTTTTTTTTTAAATGAGCGCTACAAGAAAAACTCAAGAATGTCATTATCAAACAGGTGTTAGTAAGAAAATAAAACATTAAAAAAAAAAAAAAAAAATCACACAGAAGACTAAAGTGAGGGAGATGAGATTCACTAGAAAGTCTGTTTCCTAGCTTGAATTTATTTAATTAAGGGAAAATAGCAAAAGAAGAAAAGCTGCAGAGAACTCTGTATTACGATTAGCACTCTGTATTACGATTAAAGCAATGCAAATACTGTAAGGAGCTCAGGCTGTCTCTACAAGACTTCAGAGAAATATAACTTGGAAAAAGGAAGCAATTTTTCCATATCAATTATATAAAAGTAGTCAATATATGATTTTTTTTTTAATTAATCTCTCAAACTGGTGAACTTTAAGACCAGCAACCTCCTTCGTGCCCCTAAAAGCATCCAGATACATTTGATAATACAATGATTTTCCATATATTTTAAGGCAAGCAAGCTGGCCCAAAGTATCATTCATACTGAGAATATTTGAAAAACAACTCTCTAGTTAGGGAGCAATATAGCATACAGTAGTAATGAAAACATCAGTAATAGGAAACCTACTGTCTTCAGCTTTCCCTACATACTTTGCAGTGTATTTGAAATAACTTAGAAGTTAAATGTTTATACTTATTGTAGCAAAAGTTTGAAATTATCCTTAACTGTTAAAAGTACATGATGCAACTGGCTTCAGAAGCTAAGAAACCCCTGTAAGATGACTGCATTGAACACCATTCATCCCATAAAGTCAAACTGATTAAACTATAGGAAAGATCTAATGATCTTATAATAAAATGTGGAGAAGGCAATTTGCTGCTTAAAAACCCCCTTTGAACCTGAAAAGACTAGGGAGAAAAAAAGTAAAAAAAAATAAAATTAAAAAAAAAAAAAAATCAAGAAGCTTAATAGTCACCCCTCTGTCCATGTAGGAGTTGGCACAAAGCAGCATTCAAGCAATACCCATTCAATTTTATTTGGCATAAGGATAGCAAAGATCTTGGAACCAGGAGTTATAAACAGCAGAAACAAGGATGAGATCCCCTTAAGTCTGAAAGGGGACACAGAAGGTAACTGTTAAAACAGAATAAAATTCCTGGACTTAATCTTGGATTCTCAGCATGAGAATTCCTGCTGTCAGATTCTGATGTATGATTTTATTCAACTTTGTGTCTAAAGAGAGCGTAAGCCACATGACTGAATAAATAATCAGCAAGCTAACAGAACCTATCTATAGAAAAAAGCATGTAGGAGCACAGCACTAGTTATGAACAACAGCAATTAAGGTTTTACAAATTCATTTATGCTAAATGCACCTCAAGCTTCTGTTCCTGACATTTTCTTTACCATACATACAAACGTAAACTAACACCATCTTTATTTCCCAGATGCATGGAATGTTTAGGAAAAAAAAAAAAAAAAAAACAACAAAAACAACAAAAACCACAACCCCAAAGCTACAGGCTTCAGCTCTTTGCAGCTTTCAGCACACTAGTTCCCTTGTCCGAAGCAAGGAAAGGCAGGGAGTTGAATGGAAAGGTTCTGTTTGTTTTTATAACCCCTCCTTAAGCGCTTGTTTAAGAGACTTGATGGAGAGTTGGGGGGAAGCATAAAATGAAGCATTTCCTTCATTTCTTAGAGCAAAGAACCTAAGAATGCAAAACGCATGAAAAGATGCAAATTTAGGGTGAAAAAAATAAATGTCAGCATTAGCTGTGGAAGAGCTCAAAGTTTATGGCTAAAGCAGCACTGGGGTTGAAAGAGGGAAACAGAAGAAAAACAAGGGAAATTAAATAATGTCATAAGAAAGAAGGTGCAGTTAAACCCCTCTAAGTACAGAAACTTGCTCTATTTCTAAAACCTTCATGCAGTAAAGTTATTGTTCTCAGCAGCTAGGAGAACACTCTTTCATAAATGCCAAGATGAGATCTAACGGTACAAAGCGTTCCAAAACAAAGTATCTTTAAGCCGCATTTAATTCAGCAACAAATGTAAACTTTAATGAAAAAAAAGCTGTTGTATAGTTTGGCATCATTCCAGGTCACTTAAAAATAACCATTTCTAAAAAGGTGGAAATACAGTTTTATTCTTCCTTTCCCATGTTTTCTATGGCCCTCATTCCATGCCCTACCCATGATTCCTGTGACCTTTGCAACAAAAAAATAATTTACGTCCAGATGTGAAGGGAAAAAGTGACTAGCTTGATTGCCAAGACTTCCTGTGATTGATATAAATTTAATATCCGAGGACACTTTCAGACACCAGAGGGGGCTCTCTGATTAGTTTATACTGGGCAGCTTCCAGGGAATCGTGCTGGATTGCATGGACACAGTCTGCTTTGCAAACAAACGGACACACAACAGTCAAGACTGACGACAGTCAGTATCTTCAGCCAGTGTTTAAAACACCCTGTTATCTGCAAGACTACATTTGGATTACCCCAAATCATTAACTGAAACCCTGCACAACTGGAGTCTTGTGACAAGCACACTTACAGAAACTTTGACAGGGACAAAGTCATTAAACACAACTGAATTTTGAAAGTTACATCCAAAGTAAAGGCACAGCAAATAAATGGGTTGACATTAACATTACAAACCATTGCATTCTTTTCTGTTTGAGTCTTACACTTCTTTTAAGTCTACTAAATCAGACTAGTGTCAACAGATTATTTTTAGTTTTTATTGTACCCCTTAAAAAATATTTCAGTATTGTTTCTGTTTAAAAATGCAAAACTGTTCAGAAAAGCCAAGAGAGGGCACTGTCACATCTCTATGAAACAGCAAGCACAGTGACAGTGAGCAAAATGTTAGCTTTTAATTTCTTGCAAGAGAACGCTCAACTTTAAATGTTTCTATCTACAATTTATAAAAACACTGAATAGACAGCTCAAGTCTGAGACTAAATTCCTCCATATGAATGGACATGGCTAGTGAAAAGCCAGTGAACCTCCAACTGCATCAGACAAGACACACTTCCTCTTAAAAAAAGTTTTTACATGCATTTTATAAACTATATTTTAACTTATTTTAAAACTGAATAGATGTGCCATAGATGAAATACCCCCGAAATACCACTTTGTTCACAATTTTGTCTGCATTTTTCAAAGAAAAAATCTTGCAAATAATTCAATCAATTGTAAATAGCTTTAAATTTTATTCTAAGCTACATTTTGAGATTTGTAAATTTGAGATAAAGCTCTCAGCTGGATCCAGGTGCTATATGCTATAGTGTGCTAAAAATACCAAAAAAATAAGCAAGAAGGGGAGAGGAGAGGGATGTGAGGGGTGAGAGGGAGTACTGCACATACCTCAAGTGTATATTTGAGGTAAAAATAATGTTTAGAGCAAGCAGACAAGCAAGAGGGGACATGAAGTTCTGTACCTACCCATATAAAACTAAGGGGATCGGAGAAGCTGCCAAGGTCCAGCCAAAGCATTTACCAAGTATCTGCCACTTTAACCTTTACAGTTGCAACTGTCCAAAAATCACTTGAGCTTTCAGGCGCAAGAGGACAAAAATCCTACAGGTCTGAGACTGTCCTCTGAACACTATTCTTTGAAACACATAGAAATGAAAGGTAGCTTGTGGATGGCCTGCTTGAAAATAGAGCCTTACAGACTGAAGGAACACTTCACAGGATAACATACAAAAAAGACATATTTTAAGAGGGATCCTGTCTTCCCCCTTCCTTATTAGCAGATATGAAATGTAACCCACAATGTGGACATAAATACACACAAGTGATAAATATATCTGTAGAAACTTTTATTTGTGCTTGATTTCAACATATTCCAGCATAAGGCTTCTAATAGATGTATTTTGGCTGCTCTGCTCAGTCTTCTGACCTTACACAGTAAAACATGAATCAAGCTACTAATCCTCAGAAGGACAGTATTAGTGAGGATGAGGTGTACTCTGCTTTCAGTAACATATCAGCACTTCAAGTGTTTTTTCCATAAAATAGCCACAAAATACTGAAAAATAAATATTTCTTCTTCCAGACTAAGAAAAAAAAAATTTTTTTAATCACTTTTATGGCTGAAAAGTAAAATCACTGTATTTCCACCCAACATTCTATTAGAATTTTTAAATAATCACATCATCGTGAATAGAAACTTGTTTCAGAGGGAAGATTTTTCATTGTTCAGGACCACAAGGTGTTCTCTACAAATTCATATGCTATAACTGAAGTCAGCTCAATTATCTGTTAGGAGATTATAAAATATTACACAACTATAACTATACTGCTTCTAGTAATAGCTTCCAATTGGTAACACTACAACCAGCTTTGTTATGCCTGAACTGATTATCCCACATCAATCACTGCTGGTTCCACACTGGAAAAAATAAACCAAACCCAGCCGCTAAATCTCTCTATATCACATGTGAAAACATGGGGCTCTAAACACAGTCAGCAACAGAAATGGAAGAAGTCTATTTTCTCAGCTAATTTCTACTCTAAAATTAACCACCAAACTCTAAAGTTAACCCTTAAGCAACCTTTCATAACAATGATTTACATACACTATCAGCAAACCTGCTGAAGAAAAAGG